CTTCTCAGTTCAGAGGGGCCCCCTGTCTGTCTTTGCCCAGGGCCCCAAATTTCCTAAATCCAACCCTTGGATGCTGGTTTCATGCAGAACATTCAACCTATTTTATCAAGTCTTTTAACTGCTGAAGTTCAAGTAAAACGGCTGCAATGTTGCTATGCTGCCACTAGATGGAGCTCATTAATAAGGCAGGCAGGTCTAGGTTGGATAAAAGATGCCTTGGTGCAGAGAGGCTGAGGTGTTTGAAGTCCTGCATTGTTGTAAAGATGGTGGTCTGTCATAATGGGAGCAAACTGTCTGCTAATTTTTTCAGCCTTTTGCAAAATCAAAGCAAATCTACACCAAGCAGGTCATTTTTCTCCAGTGTGATTTATTTCAAACTTTGAGTATTTCATATTTTTATTCAGCTGCGTTTCTGTTGTTGGTGTTAATTTATGTAAACCCTTAAATGTTCTGTTAAAGGGACGCACAAAACACCAACTTTGGAACCGGTTGTTGGTTTTGGACAGAAAAATAAGTCGTCTTTGTTTCAACCATTACGGTAACTTTTGAATATGCTTTTATTTGGAAGTGTAAACCTTTATAATGCAAACAGGACATGATTACTAATCCTCTTTTAATGAGTTTCTTTCAGAACTGAATGTTGAATGACGTTAGGCAAGTGAAAAAAACCTCTTTAATGTAATGCACACATCCCATAAAACTCCAGATTATTGCTTCTGACACACTAAATATTCTTAGTTCTGCAACTAGTTCAGCCTAAAGTACCAAGAACCCGGCTGTTATGTCAGGATCATTTTCAGGTTTGCATATTTTCATCATCCAACGCCACCGTGTCATGATGCAAGGCACAAAAGGGGACATAAATGTGGATTTACACCAAACCAGGAAATAACAGCAGTAAACATGCCAGGAAAATATTTTCCTCTGGTATAGTACAAAAGAAACAAAACAATTTACAATTGTTGACAGAAAACTGATAGAAAAGTTTGCCTTTGAGTTGAAAGTAAACAATAAATCCATAAAATATTAAAAATCAAGAGAAACAAATCTGATAATGATTACAGTAGTTTGCTGTGTTCCTGCCAGAAGAACCTGCAGCATCTCTCTGACGTTATAATAGGTTTGAGGAATAGGCATAAACAAGAATACTTTATCCAACAAGCAGATCTCAAAACTTGCCTCTAAAATAAAAAAGAACAAACACTAAAAGCAGCCGTAGTCAGATTTAATCAAAGTACATAAAAATGCACGATTGCTTTACAACGAGCTCTTATTAAGAGCAAATCTTTATAAAGATGGGGGGGTATTCTTGGTTATGCCTAGGAGTCCAGTGTAGCCCAGTCAGCCTGATGGGCGGAGCTTGAGATTGCAGGATGAGGTCAGGTCCTCCGGCACCGCAGGGGTCTGACAGCAGGAAAACACAGGAGGAAATAAGAAGGATTTTTTCCGACAAACTTCAATACTATGATGAAGCTAGTTGTGACTTACTGAGA